CCACTGAGTATTATCTCTAGTGGCTAACTTATAAATCTATATATTTAATTCAATAACAAATCTACTGAAGTGCAAGTTTGTAAATGTATAAAAAGTATAAAACTTGGTATACATCACTGCTTCAGTAAGACTAAGATGTTTGTTGTGAGTGCATTGTATTGTAACAATTTTAGCACCATATAATATACACCTTTTACAAATTCTTTTTTTAGAAAATTAAAAACTCCCTGTACTACACATAATAAAAGCTACTAAAGCATACCCAAATTTCCAAAACCATACAGACCTTTCTCCTTTGCTTCATATTTGTAAATGCACTCTTAAATTGTATTGAACTCTTTATATAATATAAATAGGTAGCTGCCTTAGCTATATTAAGTCCAGGGATTTTGATTTCCTATTCTAGTTTAAAGTTCAGTTTGTAAACTCTAGACTTTATCCTAAAGCATTTGTTCCAGTTTGAGGTCGGAATGTTGACAAAGCTTCAACATGGGACCCACTTCCATCCTCATAAACCACTTGTCCCCTCCAAATCACTACTACTTCCACTGATGCTAGGTAAGCTTGGTTTCATATTACCAGTGTAGCAGAGAGCAGTCAAGCCACAGTCACTGTATGGTAAACACCATATCAAGGTATCCAGCAGTAAAATTGCAATAGATTTACAATAAAGGCAAGATCAAGCAGCCAAGTTGCAACTGCTGCATTATAAGCACTGAATCAAGCAGCCACGTTGTAGAAGCTTTGCAATAAATGCTGGAATTAGATGTCAAGTCACAAAGCTGGTGCAATGAGCATGTGACAAGCTGCAGCAGTCAAGTCACTGTTGTTATGCTGTAGATGCTAAGCATACAATAGCTTTACAGTACTATAGGACTATTCTGTGGTACATGGTTGTGGCTGTGAGACACCATACCAAAGTTTCAGGACCCCCTTGAAAAACTGGTAATGCTGATGAAACATGGGTATTGTCTCTGTCAAAAACATTTATGCTAGGTAACATCACATTGCCAGTCCCTGATGACGGCTAATTGGCTGAAATGCATTAGGAGCAGTGTTAATTTTGATGTCAAATTTCAATTTAGTTTTAGTCATAGTCTTTTGACTAAAATGCCATTTTAGTTTTAGTCATATTTCAGTAATCTGAATTGTTTTAGTCTACTAAAATCTTCAGTACATTTTAGTCGACTAAAATTTCCTACATTTTAGTCAACTAAAATCTAATGGGTTTAGCTAAATTGTAATGCATTATTTAAGCATTTCACTAGAATTTACAAACTGATTATATACCCTAACTTTATTAGGGTATTAAGGTTTTGTACAGACGCAGATTTAGGCTGCAAGTGAGGATGAGGAAGTAAATGTGTGAAGCAGTGCACAGGGCAGAGAACTGGAAGGTCTGGGAAGGCTTTTTATTTTACACAGTGCTAAGCGCTGCTACCTTTCTGGGACTGGAAACACTCGCCACGTCACATCCAGACGGACATGAATCCCATGGAGGAGTTCCTCTTCTGTGGTTTGCAGGGTATTGTTCCAGAACTCCCAGGCACAGACAGACAGAGGGAGCTTGCCGATAGAGTCAAGGGGCTGGGGCTTTAATATGAGGAAAGTGGAAGTTCAGGTAGGTAACATTCGATCCTCACATTTTTGTTCCATTTTCGTTTGTGGAATTGGAATTTTCATCATAATTTTCATCAGTTCACAAAAATTGGAATCAATGTTCATTTAGTTTTTGGCAGCGAAATTAACACTGATTGGGAGGAGCCCATGGAGTGATGTAGGACACTGAATTGGTTACAAAACCTCTGGAGCTTATATGTATGTTTTAATATTTTTATTACAATAAATGGTTTATACTTTTGGAGATCTGTTTTATGTGCTTATATTTACACTGATTGGCAACACTAAACACCAGAGGAACCGAGTGTAATGTGATTACATGGTCCCAAATGGGGAAAGAGCACCTGACTAAGAGCCTACATCTGATCCCTCTCATCTGACCTGCCTTCAGGTTTCTTCAGGGGTGTCTTGGCAAAATTCCTAAAAATTGCCCAAACTGTATACAAGTCTGCCTTTTAGCTACACAAAGTCACAGGTTTTCATTGCGCACCATTACAGATTCTAGCTGCTGGTGACATAACAACCAATGATGCCATCAGTGGATAAGAAATACATTGGGCACCAGTACAGCATCCTAGCTTGCCCCTCCCGTCAGCACTAGGGTCACATTAGCTGAGAGAGGGGGAAGAGAAACATTGGCATACTAGTCAGTACCAGTGTGCGAAGGTGTATTTGCTTTGGAAGAATATATTACCTCTAACGTTTGGTGTTCTACATATGCAGATGATTTACAGTTATAATTAAAGTTGATCCAGGAAATATATCCAATTGCCTCTCGGGGATCAGGAAGGAATTTTTTCCCCTGCAGGAGCAAATTGGATCATGTTTTTTCTTCCTCTTGATCAACTGTGGGTTTAGGATTATAACTTTTTTTTTTATATCTGAACAAGATGGACTTTTGTCTTTTTTTTTCAGCCAGATTAGATGTGTAACTATCTGCAAATATATGTTGCGCTCCTAAATACTTCTCAATAAATAATAATTAAATTATTAACATTAAATTAATTCAAATTATGATACAAATAACTAATAAAAGTGTATACATACCAAAGAATATTTAAATAGATAATTTCAGCTAATCAATCTCCTCCCAATAAATATCAAAATAATTCCACATGAAATACTCCTAAAAAAATATTTTGCCAAGTGCTCATAAATCATCTATTAGTGACATGATGTGTTTACTAATACCCTCAATTTCATTTATATTCATAATACCCTCATTTAATATAATAAAAATAGTGAACCAACTAGTAACCCTCAACTAAAACACATTTAAATGATCCCCCATGTATAAACATAACCAAATGCTCATAAATAATTAATAGTGATTTGTATGAATCCAAATATCATCAAAATAATAGGCCCATTGAATAAACAATTGTTTATGTATAGTGACTTGGTGCTTGTTGTTCTTCAATTTGTGACTTTTGTGAATCCTTCAAATAGTGAAAATGTGCGCTCACCTCCTTTGATGCCTGCAATTAGGCTATACACGCTTTCGGTTCACTTTCCCTGGAACCTGCTGGACATATACTTTTGCTGGTAAAATTGGGAGATCCTTCCTTTAGGAGTAATGGATGTATCCTCTGGTGGCTGATTATCCCCTCAGGGATTACACACTCCTTTTGTTATCTCAGACCTCCTAATTATCCTCTCCTTGTGTTATTCCGCATGCAGGAAGAAATAGAGGACATAGTGCTTTACCTTTTAAAACTTTTTTATTCCCACCATCCAAGTATTAAACTCACATTAGACAGTTTTAAATAACGCAATATCCCATTGGAAATCCTCTGCTGGCCTCTGAGATAATATCTCAGAGGTGGTGAGTGCACATCTTCACTATTTGAAGGATTCACAAAAGTCACAAATTGAAGAACAACAAGCACCAAGTCACTATACATAAACAATTGTTTATTCAATGGGACTATTATTTTGATGATATTAGGATTCATACTAATCACTATTAATTATTTATGAGCATTTGGTTATGTTTATACATGGGGGATCATTTAAATGCGTTTTAGTTGAGGGTTACTAGTTGGTTCACTATTTTTATTATATTAAATGAGGGTATTATGAATATAAATGAAATTGAGGGTATTAGTAAACACATCATGTCACTAATAGATGATTTATGAGCACTTGGCAAAATATTTTTTTAGAGTATTTCATGTGGAATTATTTTGATATTTATTGGGAGGAGATTGATTAGCTGAATTTATCTATTTAAATATTCTTTGGTATATATACAGTTTTATTAGTTATTTGTATCATAATTTGAATTAATTTAATGTTAATAATTTAATTATTATTTATTGAGAAGTATTTAGGAGTGCAACATATATTTGCAGATATTTCCAACACAGTTGTAGTTATGTGTTTCATGTTTGCGATCCTCTAGTAATTATCACACCTGTGGCTCGCAAGTCACTCTGATTCACCTATAGATGTGTAACTATGTTGCTGCATTTTGTAAAACGATTAGTTTAGTTTTTTTTAGTAATGGCTGCCTGAAGATTGTGCAGAATTTGAAAAGGGGCCTCAAGATTGTGCTGAATTTTAAAGGGTGCCTGGAACTGAAAAAAGGTTGAGAAGCCTTGGTTTAGATGTCTTATTATTTGATAGGGCACTAAATTCCTAAATCCACTATAGTTTACCTATAAATCTTTTATGAACTGTGTACAGGCTCCAGTATATTTGCATAGTGCGTTCATAAATTTAATGGAAAGGGAAAAAGATCTGTATGGCAAAATTTTCATGCAGTGGTGAGCTCTACCTTACTGACATAGCCCATGGAGTGTCGGTTCAAAAACTTGGTTCCTACATACTCATTCACTCTATTCAAAATTCTTTATTCATTAAAAGTTCACTGGATCATGTTTGTCATGCGCCAGTATAGGGCAGCCGATTCACTTGAATGGGCAGCCCTATGCGCAACAGATATGACAAAAGTAGTGCCTGTACCTTTTTGGATGGTGAGCTTTGCGTGATTTTGTACATTTGTGCATCTGCTAGCCACGTTTAGGGTGCCATTAAAGAACAGAACAGCAAAAACAATACATGTTTTTTTACAATTATTTACACATTTCCTGGAATGCGCAGGTGTGAATGTAGCCTTAGACGAAGGTTTTTTTTACCTGAAATGTACTTGAAAGGTCTGTATGACTTTAGGAAAATGTGGGTATGTTTATAGTGTTTTATTATGTGTAATAAGTGGATGTTTTATATTTTGAAAAAACTGGCTGGTAGTGAATAAACAACATGTAAATGCTGGGTGAATGCATGCTATAATTGCAAAATAAATAATACCATACATTTTGATTACAGCTTACAAAAGTTTTATGCTGTAGGTTCATCACTTTTTTTTATTTTTTCAGACATTATTATATTGTAGTAGTGCCTTTAAGGAAACTGCGTGGACAATTTCTAAACCCTTGGGGAAGCCCTGAAGAAATGGATTTAGAGCAGGTTAGTAAACCTATATATATGGCCATTGTTGACAGGAATTTGTTCAAGTTTGGAATTGCTTCCTTCCTCTTAAGTCTACAGGAATGCAGTACAGCTTGAAGCAGGTCAAATGTACCTGCAATGAAGCATCTCAAAAGCACATTGGATTTGACTATGAAGACAGTCGACACTGGCCGATAGCAGTTACATTTTCCCTCATTTTGCTAGGTCTTACTATATTTGTAACAGTTTTTGAGTGCCAACAACTTGGAACTGTCTTACAGAGTAGTATTTTTCATTTTCAGTAATTGACTTAGCTTGTTTTGTGTTGCATGCAGGTTTTTGGGGTACAGTTCATATACAGTACATATCAATATAGTGATGTATTAAAATGACAAATGTCTGTCAAGTTCAGACAAATTTCATATTTTTATTAATAATAATGGAGTGTAAATCGAAAGACATAGCACTAAGGCAGCTATCAGTTATTCATTCCACAGAAAAAAAATCTTCCTGATAAATGGAGCTGCCAATTTTAGTCATATGAGAGCTTATTTTGCATTTATGGATATTTGTAGTACTAGCCACTATGGATGTCATTTGTAGAAAAATGTACTCTAGTTTCTCTTACAGTGGAGAATTATTTTTATTTTTGGTATCAAAAAGGTTTATTTTCATCAGTTGCTTAATTGTAGACATGAAACATTTATAAGAAAGTAAATTTTAGGCCATCTTTTAAATGGTGAACAAGCAGACAGCTAAATACTCAGTTGAAATACATGTAACTGAACTGTTTGCGTGCTAAAAGGTTTGAATTAATGTTTAATCACCCTTGTGATCCAGACACACCCTCCTGATAGCACAGTCAGATTGGACAATTCCCTTTTCTGCTGCAAACTGGTTGAGCAGCAACTTGCCCCAGCCATTGATCTGACTGCACAGTTAAACTGGTACCATATGGCTTTAGGATTTTGGTTATGTAGATAAAAAGAATGTGGGGCTTTGAGTGGCCATTTACATATACTGTATTAGTGAGACACAACTCTGGATAAATGAGCACAGGAGGCACAGCAGATAGCAGCATTGTCAAGGGAGGGTAGTGTTAAATGTATGAACAGATTTTAAATACGCTAAACAAACTGAAGCCAAACACCAGCTCACACTTTATAACTTTACAACAAACTGTTTTTTTTACTTTTGAGATAAAGGTTGTACATGATTAAATAAAAGTTGATCATTTTAATCACCCCTGCCAGAGTTAAAAGAAGTAGGGCTTCTTTTTTCCTAATTATACTTACCTAGATGGATACAGCATCGGCTCTGAGGGTGAGAACTCAAAGATCACAGTTCGTTCTGCAGTCTTGTGACCCAGTTTCAGATGACAGCAGACTGAATCCGCTGTCTGCTGACATCATTCAGGCAGTCCAGGCTGGGGAAAGATTCCAACTTCAAAGTTGGGATCCACCCCAGAGTCTGGAGCGGCACCTGGCTCAGGCTCTCAGCAAAGCACTAAGAGCCTGAGTCAGCCGCTCCCTCCCCCTCCACAGCCCAGCGCATGGTAGGCTGAGCAGAGAGTGGTGACTGACAGTCCCTCGTTCTGCTCAAAGCGGAGAGGAAAACTCAGTGGTCATATGATCGCTGAGTTCTCACCCTTAGAGCTGGCGAAAAGCAGATTCAGCATTGGATCGATGCTGCTTCCACTTAGGTAAGTATAAATAGAGGGGAAAAAAGCCTTGCTTCACTTTTAATGATTTTTAATGAAAACATGCCTGTATTAAATGGTGTATATTATTTTTGCCTGGAATTTAATTGCGCTCATGGAGATTAATCAGTATTTGGTGAAAAATTTAGCATGTAACAGTCTCTACCCCATGGCATTTGTGATAGGGTCTGTGTACAACATAACGATTGTTGTTCAATAGTTTATTTTCTGTACTTAGGCCTTGTTCACATGGATGCATTTAAGTATACACCCATGCAAGGCTATGTTTGCCTGCACGAGGATGCATAGGTGTTCTGGGCATTCCTGTGCAGTCAGTGTACGCCAGTGCAAATGCATTCCGCGCATCTCCGTACAGGCAGTCCCATTCATGTCAGTTGTGACACTGCAGCTTCACAGACACAGCTGCTGCTCCCAATTCGACAGCAGTGTGGGTGCATGGCCCCAAACTCACACTGTCTGCATTTGTGGCTGCATACCTGCATAGCTGTATCTGTTCAACCGCTGCATCCCGATTAACACAAATGGGACTGCCTGCATGGGGATGCATGGAACGCTTGTGCATCTCTGTCCAGAATTCACTCAGGTGTATACTTAAGTACGCCTGTTTAAACGAGACCTTACATCTATAAATTTCCATACCAAATTTTTCTATATTCAAAGTATATCTTTAGCCCAAACCGTTTGTTTATAAAGTTGGGAAGTGTTGGAAGCGCTTACTGATTTTTATTTACCCTCTCTATTTATTCTGGTTGCCATTTTTACCTAGACAGAAGTGATGTAAGATCTAAAATTCTGTGACTCAAAGATAAGGAAAAATCTACCAATGAAAATATTTGTTTTGGGGACAGTTGTCTAAAAGGGATTTTCCCCTCTTAAGTAGTTTTTCTTTCATTTCTTGTTGTGTCTCCCTTACAGATAATAAAGGGATATACCCAATGGGGCAGACACAATAAATGGCTATAGATACAATTTAATTTATGCTGTATTGCCCTATGGTTAATGTAAAAGGAAAACAATTATAATAAACCTTTCTTTTTACATCTCACAGCTAGTTCAGACTATAACAAAGCAGCACCGTCGTAGCTTGCGTTACCTAAGACACCTGGAGTACCCGAAACCATATGTAGCAGCTCGATTCCAGTCTCTGCCTGGACATTTCACACTTGGAGACCAAAAGAATTATGATGGCTTTGAAAACAAGGCATTGGAAATCGGACAGAAATATGTTTTCTTTATCATGGCCATGCTTGAAAGTGCAGAAGTGGTGAGAGAGTTTTTTATTTGTTTTTTTGTCGATTAGGGAAATCTGATATGGATATATACACAGTGCTGTTACTGAATTTACAGTTAAAAGACAGTATATAACTAGTTAAACTATAGTGAGATGAGTTAAATGGAAACAAAAGGCCCTCCATTAAGTAGAGCCATTTTAAAGTAAATAGTATGTAAATATCTCACTTCCATCACAAATCCAAAAATGAGGGTTTTGCAACCAGAACTGCTTACAGCATTGATACTGACTAACATTAGTCATAGCCAATAATGCCAAGCTGCATACGGCTGTTTCAGCCATCTAATTTAAACTGAAATGACCATCCTTGAACAAGTGTGAAGGCCTCCAACACCATCTGTCTTACACATATAGTGACATTTTAACATCTCTATCCCAGTGTTTTGGCAATGATTCATACCTTCAGTCTTGTGAATCAAAGGATTAACACTCTTATAGCCTTTCTGACACAAATGATGGGATTATATAACTAGTACAGGGAGGTTCCACAATTTTCTCCCCTCCTAACCTGCCCTTAGACAATAACATATAACTTTCCATGGTAATTGGATAAAGGTGTTGGTGCTGCCTGTTTGGATATAAATGCTTGGGTATTACTGACGTGTGTGTGTGTGTATAAATGCACATACAGTATTCAGACCTAGATTAGATCTGTTGTGATCTCAAAGTCACTGAGAAAGTGGGTGTTGCAAGAATTCCTTGAGCCAAGTGCTTTAATATGAGACCTGAATGGGAAGTGAATAGGCTAAAATTTTATTTGTATTTTACTTTTTTTCCTACAGAAGATATTTGCTGCTAGTCCATATTCTGATCCCATTCAAGTAGAAGATCCAGATCCTCAACCAATAACTGAGGGTGAAGAAGGCCTGATTTGGGTTATTGGACCAGTTTTAGCTGTTGTTTTCATAATCTGTATCGTGATTGCTATACTTCTCTACAAAAAGTAATTAATTTAAATATTGTGATAATTGACAATCGATGCATGTGGTTGCTTATGCTGCTAACATTTTTTTTGTTATTCATTCTGACCTATAATGTACCTTAATACCTAAGTTAGATAGTTTTTGATTTCTGAGTGAAAAATGTTTGGAGAACAGATTCTGCACGTTTTGGACAATATATTTCTTAGCCATTGTTTACAGGCATTCGTGAATCACCAGAATATCGAGGATCCTTCTACTGTAGGTTCATGGTGCTGAAGCCACCATGAACTTATAGCCTAAGAGAATGCAATGGACATAAAGGCAGTTGAGTCAGACAGCTGCAGGTAGTTCTGTTCTGCCATACCTCTTATGTCTGTGGCAGTAAAGGTCCCTAAGGCTAACTGTGTCAAGAATTATTTCTTCTTATCGGTAATAAGTATAGTTTAGAAATTGAATTCCAGTCTAACTTTTTACAGGCATTGAATTAAAATTAATGTGTAGGTATACTTTTCAAATAGATGCTTTTTTTAAAAGCCCAATTTAACTTTGAGTTGATTTCAACTTATAATATTCTAGGTGCATCTTAGAGCATATGTCAAGGCAGAAAACTTGTGTAGCACATCTCCGGAATACATGCACATTTCCTCATGTTTTATCCCTGCCAACAAGTTGAAAATGCCAAATTATCTCTGAAGAGGTCCTTTCCTGGTCTCCCTTATAAAATATCAAATTTGAAGCTGCCAGCACAAACTAAAAAAAAAAAAACAAAAAACATGAAAACAACTGAAATAAACCACACTTAATTACATAAAAATAAGTGTTGATGTGTCAGAAATATAACATGCACCTACCTTCCTCTTGTATTTTGTTTTTTCTTTATAAAACATGCACAGAGTTGAAAATCCTGTCCCTAGCCAGCATACTGTAGAAAAGTACCCTTGCTTTCTATGTGGAAGCAGTGGTCTTTCTACAGAAGTCTGACATGCCCCTAGCTGATTTAAAACTAGACCTGGCCGACTAGCAGGAGCATGAGTTTTGCTGTCTATGCTCTGACTTCTCTAAAGCATGTTTCTAGGGAACAGGCTTTTCTATTAACGATGTGACTGCTGTCTACAGAAAATTAACTGAAAGACTTGGCACACCCTTTTTTTTTATCTGCCTCGAATATATTTAGCTGATTTATGGAAAGTTCAATTGGGCTTTAAACTGTGTTTGTTGCAAGCCCTCAGAGCTTTTCCCATATTGTGCAAGCATGCACAGCATAATGACACATATGACACACTTTACCTTCTAGTGTGCCCTCCTCCATGTCAATCTGTCACTCTATCACTGTCATAGGTGTAAAAAAAATATAAATTTGTTAGCAGGAAAGGAGAGGCTTTGCAGTAAAACAGGGTCTCTTATGCCATAAGTCTCTACCTACTAACAGTTTTTTTAGTTCTGGTTACAAAAAACAAACCAACATGCCCCTAAAAAAGGTAACACCAGTGGGAAGTATGGGTAGCACAAATACCTGTGTTAGTCTTCAAATTGTTCCATGTCCATGTTAAGCTCTTTGGTCTTATATCTAGGTTGAGCTTAAGCCTTGCCTCCTCCTGTTTTGTTCCCATTCATTCAAGTATCAAATGCCAGAGCCTTAGTAGGCAGTTGAGCAAGGTCATTTTTCAGTTTTCAGTGCTGTGGTAGTCTGACTGACACTTTATCTGTCATCAAACACTGTACCCAAATTAATTTAATTTTTTTTTTTGAGATTGAGCATTGGTAGTATTTACCACTGTTTTTTTTTTTTTTACTATATAAAGGAAAATTACCACAATATTAGAAAACAGGTTCTTTTACTGTCAGTTCTAATACATCAAAAATGCCAGGACAGTTCAACCCCCCAAATGACCCATTTGTGAAAGGTAGACACCCCAAGGCCATCTCATTATTTGCCACATTTTTTGGACATGAGGCAACATGCTGTTATTGAGGGGTATAAAACACAGAGCTCAGCATTAGTGCACTAGATACATTAAATGTACAGGTCATACACAAGAGGAGAATGTGAAGGGGTTCATATACGGCAGCAGGATGGGGATGAAGGGATTAATGTAATCGTGCAGGATAAGGGAGGTGATGGGTTAATATATAAATCACATAGAGACTGATTGCAAAGTAGATATACAGGAAAGGAAGGGGAGGTGAAAGGGATAAAATAAAAAAATCCCACACTCACCCCCACCATGGAGTGGCTGATCTGGAACTAATGAATGATTCACTTGTTAGTTTTCCTTCCTCCATTGTAGGAGGAAGTGATGGGCTCTCAGGTATATGACACACTGTTTATATGAGTGATCGCTGAGCTCCTAGTTTTCCCCCCAGCTCGTGCCCCCCCCCTCGACTTCTCCATCAAGATCAACAACACTATCATCAGTCCCACCCCTCACGCCAGGGTAGTAGGTGTAATCCTACACTCCAATCTGTCCTTTCAGCCCCAGGTATATTTGGCTGACAAACTCATGTAGACTTCACCTCCGCAACATCTCCAAGATACAACCGTTCCTAACCTCGGAAACCACTAAGCAACTCATTCCCCTTATTATATCACGCCTTGACTACTGTAACTCCCTCCTCACTGGCCTACCTCATCGCAGGCTATCCCCACTCCAGTCCATCATGAATGCTGCTGCCGCCAGACTCATTCACCTTACTAACTGCTCTGTATCTGCCACCCCTCTCTGCCAATCGCTCCACTGGCTTCCAATTGCCCAACGGATAAAATTCAAAACACTGACGTACAAAGCTGTTCATAACACTGCCCCTAATTACATCACCTACCTTGTCTCTAAATACCACCCAAACCGTACTCTCTGCTCCTCGCAAGACCTCCTACACTCTAGCTCCCTTGTCTCCTCCTCCCATGCCCATCTCCAGGATTTCTCAAGGGCTTCACCCATCCTCTGGAACCCCCTACCCCAATCTATCAGGCTATCGCCTACTACGCTCACTTTTAGGCGCACTCTGAAAACCCATCTCTTCAGGGAAGCCTACCCCGAACCCAGCTAATACTGGAATCCTCTACTCTTGCTACCATTCCATCCCCCACAGCTAATATCCTCTTGTACCACTATCCCCTCCCTCTAAGTTTGTAAGCTCCAAGCAGGGCCCTCTAATCCCTCTTGTATTGAACTGTATTGTTACTGTACTGTCTCCCTCCATAATGTAAAGCGCTGAGCAAACTGTCGGCACTATGTAAGTCCTGTATAATAATAGTAATAATAATAATAATGATTGGTCCTGCACAACAATCACATGATGTAGGGGTGCTTGGATCATCTCTGTACACTGTGTCTGTGAACCAAGTCATCCAGTAATGGCTGCCTGGGGGGTTTATAAACATGAGACTGCAAAAATATTTGCCCACCAGTTTACTGTTCAAAAAACATATGATGGTACATAATTGGTTAATGTATACAATATATCACATTTTTATTGTTATTCACTGACAAATAATATTTGAATAGTGTTTTTAAAAAATGTATTCTAACTTGTTTTTCTTTTGTTATTTCCATATTTAGCAAACCAGACAGGTAAGAATATTTATTGCTTTCTTTATTTTACCAGTTATTTCTATTTCAGTTAAGTTTGAAGTTAAATATACTTAAATATTTCCTTTACTCTGAATTAGAATATACTGTATGTGGTCTTAAACGTCCATGCTTTGGGGAGTTAAGATGTGTAATAGATTTCTAAGCTGGTTCTTAGGGTTTCTGCAAGTATCGGATAATGGTCAGCTCTCAGGTGACACGGGGCACCGAAGTAAAAACTCACAAGCTCACTCAAAGAGCCTGGAATATATTAGCTAGCTATAAATTTAAGATCACTCCCTAAGTAAACTCTGGACAAGGTTGACATTGTGTCTAGTGGACAACTGAGGATGTGACTTTATATCCAATGTAGGCTTTTATTTAAAAAGTACCAAGAACAAAGCAGCAATTCATTATGCAATTTTTACATTTTTAAGCAAACGGAAAAATTCAGAACCCAGGACCAAATGTTTACTGAATAATGCTGAGATTACTCCTCACCATCCAACAGATCCAGTGGAGATGAGACGCATTAACTTTCAGACTCCAGGTAAGCGAAAAATGAATGCTTTACTAAGGTGACCCCTGGAAAAAATGTAGCTTGTCCATATTCATAAGTGTATTCATGAAAAGTACACATGTTCACATCTATACTGTCAATTTAGAGAGTGAATAAGAAGACAAATCATGTTTAATCCTGTACATTAAAGGTGACCGACCTGTGGATTGAAACCACAAAATGAGCTATTAAAATAATTTTTTGGGGTCAGTAGGTTTTTTGACAGTACATTTATTCTATTGGGATGTACTTTCTGGGTCTGAAAACAGTGACTAACTGACTGTAAGGTCCCAGCATGAAAGAGCTTGAGCACCATTGCTCTGGAACAAAACTACATTATTTATGGCTTAAATTTGGCTTCCTGACCATGCTCTTGTGCTCTATGTTAAACTGGTAAACATATGTGGATTTGTTCTGTGGTTTATTGAAAGGAGAAAACAAATTACAGTAGGCTTTTTTATAAAATATGTTTTATCCTTTATTATTTTATTGTATGTAGTCCACCAACACAAACAATTCATTAAGATGATTTTTATTTTCAAACTGATCAGATTTTTTTTTTCTATATACTTGCCATTAAAAACGCATCATGGGGAAAAAGTGTGTTTAAAAAAAAAGTTGTGTATGTGTGGAAAAATGCTGTGCTTATATGTTCCTGTCGGGTGGTAGCCCAGAGTTGATACAGTATTGTGGCTGACAGTCTGGGAGTGCATTCAGTTCAGGGGAATATCTCATATAGAGATTGAACTAGGAAGCCAAAAAAAATACGCGCAGTCACACACCACCTGACCGTGGGTTGCAAGCTGACATCCAAAAAGTGATTTTTGATCAACAATATAAGATATAGTGCCGCTCTACCCAAAAATGTTAAACTTATTTCTCTCACAAAACAATATTAGACATAAATATTCAAAATAAAAATGCATCAGTAGGTGCAAAATGCCACACTGTGCTAAAAAATGGTAAATAAAGCAATAAGCAAGTCCTTAAATGAGAAGTACAGACAGTGCTTTTTTGGCGTTCTGCACTCCTATGACCCGTTTTCAGCTGACAGCGGACGTCACTCAGCTAGTCCAGGTCGGGGAAATATCCTGACTTGAAAGTCGTGATCCACTCTCCAGAGTCTGGAGTGGCACCTGGCTCAGCCTCTCAGCGAAGTGCTGACAGCCTAAGCCAGCCACTCCCTCCCCCTCCACAGCCCAGCGCTCCAATGGACGTGGTGGGGGGGAACTGTGATTGACAGTCCCACTCTCCGCTTAGAGCGGTTGTGAGAACTTGGCGATCAGCAGTCATGCTGATCACCCTTACAGCCGGCGTTAAGTCACCCTTACAGCCGGCAGGGGACAAATGCAGCATCGGACCGATGCTGCATCCACCTAAGTAAGTATGCACAAAGTGTAGAAAATAATAAAAAAAAGATAAGTGAAATAGAGTTTAAGGAGAAATCCACAACACATTAGTGTCAAAATCTTGTATAATAGTAATCCTGCTGCTCCATAGATACAAAAAGAGTCACAGTGCACCCAGTAATAATTGAGTCTGTTCACCTTCACACAACCTCTAGACACAAACAGGCTTTTTCCATCAATGAGCATAAGTCAATCATCTGCTTCTCTGCTTACACTCCTCTTCCACATATCACAGAAACTGTGTACATATAAGGCAAGAAAGGAAACGTACAGTGCTCACTACTGCTACTACTTTACTGAAGATAAAAGGTTGGTATACACTCACATAGTTTAATAATAAATTGTACTTTTCTACACTTTGTGTAGTTTTGCACATATTTATGCAATTTTGCATAAATTTTCACTGAAGGACTTACTTTATTTATCATTTGTTATTTTGCACTTACTAATGCATTTTTGTTTTGTTTTGGGTTTTTTTTATTGATTTTAACAAATAATACACACAAAAAAGGTGCAAATAACACCCACGCAGGGCCTTGGCCCAACAGAACAAATGTGAATACCAACTAAGAATAAACCACTTTTATTTTGGTATTTATGTGTATTAGTGTTTTGTGAGGGAAACAAGTGTACGATTTTTGTGTAGCACTGCACTATTTCTTAAATTTTTGATCATAGTGAGATTGGGCACGCTGGGACTTTGTACTGGAAGTACAGATTCACGTCTATCAGTGTGCACTTTTGTCTGTTTATAGTGTGTTGTAATGTCCGTTGAAGCTCATTTACATACATTTTCTTCTAGTTTAATTCAACTGGACATCACAGCGCATGACAGCGCATAGAAAAATGAATATGCCTCATTGAATAGCATTACTTCCTAAGACGCATGTTTTGGGTTACAACTCATGCATTAAAATTTAATAGTGATGGTGATGAAATGCTGCACTTTGTAGTTGTTTAAAAAGGTACCTATCAGAAGAGCATTGTAGGAATTGTAGTTCTACAGAGGTAACATACTTAACAGTTTGGCTTGCTAGAACTTGCTAGAGTTGAACATTAATAGGACAGAAATGAATGATGTGTCCTAGGACATCACATATAAGGGAGAGGCTCTCATGGGAAAAGCTGAAATTGCAGTTTCAGAGATGGAAAAACTAAACTAAGGCCCCTTTCACATTGGGTGGGTTCCATTCCAATCAGCAGGGATCTGCTCACAGATCCCCTGCTGATTGGAGCATAGTGGGTGGATGACACATCCATGTCCATTGCAGAGTGGACAGGGACAGGGCCCGTGCTGCTCTATGGGTGGTCAGGAGTAAACAGAGTCTGCTGTACATTTATGCCTGACCACCCTCCAATCCAATCTGGCTAAACAGAAGAGGACGGATCAGTCCCGGAGGTAGGCAGTTATAAACAGACGTAAGTCCATTTACACCCATCTGTCCATAGGAATTAGGACCTCGTCGTCCACTCTGCATTGTTGCCGTAGGTCTTGTTAGTTGGCATTCAGCCAAGCCTATGCTTCCTGGGCGGTCTCAAAAAACTGTGTTTGCCCCCTTGTTGTAGAAATTCTGAAGGAACCCTGTACACACTGTTGTATACCCTTTCCAGCAAACTTTGCCCCCGTACCATAACTCAGAACTTGGCAGGGAAAAGCACTTGCCTCTGTCAATGACCTTTCCCTCTCCAACTCCCTCAATCTACTTGCTGTTACCAAAACCTGGCTCCAGGAATCTGACACTGCCTCACCAGCTGCCTTTTCCCATGGTGGTCTCCTCTGGGCTCACCCACATCTAGCAGACAAAAAGGAAGCGGAGTTGGACTCTGAATTCCAGGTTCTTCCTACACCTCCCTATCTTTCCCTCTGTTCTTTTGAAGTGCACTACAATTGTCTTTTTTCTCCAGTTTGTCTGAGGATTGCAGTAATTTTCTGGTCTTCTGCCCCTGTGTCACACTTTCTCAATGATTTCTGCGCATGACTACCGTACTTTCTCTCCTCTGAAGTACCCGCCATCATCCTCGGTAACTTTAACATTCCAATCAATGTTAACACCTCAGCCACTTCTCAACTTAACCTCCTCTTTCAACCTCATACAATGGACAAAACCACCACTCACTCCAGCGGCAACTGCCTAGACCTCATGTTCTCCCACCTCTGCACTCCCTGCAACCTCTCCAGCATCCCTTTTCCTCTCTCCGATCACAGCTTTCTCAGTTTCACACTCTCCTTGTCCCCTACCTCCCATGCCTCCAACCTGCAAACCGTTACCTGCAGGAACCTTTGTCACCTCAACTCTTCCCTTCTTCAAATCGAACCCCTGTCCTGCCCAGACCTGGTCACTTCTGCCTAAAACAACATACTATCATCCTCCCTGGACACACTCGCTTCTCTCTCTACACGCAGAACCAGGCCTTGCCTGCAACATCCCTGACAAACAGATGACATCAGAAGTCTCAAGAGATGCAGCCATTGCTTTTGAGTGAGCGTGACGAAAAACTACGCAAGACTTTACTCTCTACAAATCTATTCTTCTCAAATACAACTCCTTTCTCCATACTGCTAAACAAGCCTACTACACCACTCATCAAAACCCTCTCATAGAAACCTTGTCAGCTCTTTTCTACCCTTGATTCCTTACTTCACCTCCCCCACTGCTTCGGGCCACCAACTTGCTTAGAGCCCAGGAGACTGCCAATCATTTAGAAAACAAAATCCATCTCCATCTCCTCTGGCACCTCTCCCTCCCCATTCAAATATGCACTGGTCACCCCCATACTTAAAAAAACCCTCACTGAACCCCATCTGTTTGAATAACTTAAGACCCATCTCCATTCTCACATTTGCCTTCAAGCTTCTTGAATGCCTTGTCCACAATTGTGTGAGTTGCTCCCTCACTGACAATAACCTTCTTGATCCCCTACAGTCTGTCTTTCACCTGCAAAACTCAATAGTGATATAAACTAACTGCTAAAACCAATGGCCAGTACTCCATACTCATATTCTTAGACCTTTCTGCTGCCTTTGACACAGTTGACTATCCACTCCTCCTCCATAAACTCCACTCTCTTGGCCTCCGAGACTCTGCCCTTTCCTGGTTCTCCTCCTACTTATCTCATTGCATTTTCAGTGTCGCATACAATACCATCTCCTCTGCTCCTCTTCCTCTTTCTGTTGGAGTACCTCAAGCTCCATCCTCAGGCCCCTTCTCTCTCTCTCTCTATGCCTCTCTCCTGGGACAGTTGATAACCTCCCATGGCTTCCAATACCACCTCTATGATGATGACACCCAGATCTATCTAGACTCTTCAACTCACCCCCTCAATCTGCTTACGCATCACAAATTTACTGAGCGACATATCAGTGTGGATATCACACCATTTCCTCAAACGCAAACTTTCTAAAACTGAGCTTTTAATATTTCCTCCTCCCCAATCCCTTCCCTATGACATTACCATTGAGATCAACAGCAAAATCATTGGTCCCTCCACACATGCCAGGCTGCTAGGTGTAATCCTAGACTCTGACCTCTCCTTCAGCCCCCACATCACTGGCTAAATCTTGCCACCTTAACCTCCGCAACATTTCCAGAATTCGCCCTTTCCTGACTTAATGA